AGCTGTGGGTAAAACATCGAGACAGCAGGAAGAAGAGCTTAGTTGGTGTATGATTTCTTCTAAGTTTTTGTAGTTTATTTGGTGAAATTGGGAAATTTTGTCAAAATCAGTTCTAGTTGGAGACAACATTGGTACTGGAGTTGATGTGGATGTGCTGACTGCCCCTCTGATCTAAAATTAAGGCTGTATTAATCTGATTTCACTGTGTTTAAATGCACTCTGGACTCTGCCGTTGCCGTGGGCAGAGGTCAATGTTTCCAGACTGCAGTGACTCTGGCCCCACAGTAGAAATGCACACCAAAAAAACAGCAGCCAAGATAGATTAAATGTTTTTGGTGGAAACATGTCTTATGGCTTTAGGACATCAACGAACCATTTTCCACAAATGAAGAAAACGTGAACAGTGGTGAACCTTCCCCGTAGTGGTCGTCCTACCAGAATTACTTTAAGAGCATTGACAGCTCATCCAGGAGGTGGCAAAAGAAAAAAGAACAAAACACTGCAGGCCTCACTTGCTGCAGTTAGGGTCAGAGTGCGTGATTAAACAATAAGAAAGAGTCTTTTCAAAAATGGCATCCACGGTAGAGTTCAAATGATATAAAACCTTGTTGAGCAAAAAGAACCCATATCTTCCAAAAAATAAAGGAAAAACCCATCTTGATGGTCCTCAAGACTTTTGGAAAAATATTTTGTCGACTGATGAAACAAAAGTAGAACTTTCTTGAAGATGCGCACCTGGTTACATATGAAATAAAACTAACAGCATTTTAGAAAACGCACATGATACCAAGAGCCAAACCTGGTTGTGGTAGTGTGTTGGTCTGGGGCTGCTTTGCTGCTTCAAGGCCCGGATGGCTGACTAATTAACAGAACCATGATTTCTGCTGCCTTCCAAAAAAAAAAATTTTTATTATCAAAATCTTGACCTCCTCTGCTTTAACTTCACCCCACGTATATTGCATCGAGTCTCTTCATTCCCTGTGTGTGTGTGTGTGTGTGTGTGTTTTGTTTCCTGGAGAACAAACGGACAGCTGTACTAGTCAAAGATGAGTCAGTACAGCTGGGGTCTGGGTCACTTACCCACAGCCCACTCACATAGGACAGATGGCTCAGCCAGTTGCATGGTGATGCATCTTACAAGAGAGCGATCAGTTCATTAATAACATCTGAGAAGAATAAAAATTACGTCAATTCACCTTCAAATGATTAATTTAATAGTTTTAAATCTTTGAGTGGGAAATTGTCAGTAGGAACTGGTGCTTTTGTGACCTTCGTGCTAATAGAGAAAGTAATCTGTTCACACCCAGGAGTTTAGGGCCATCCCACCATTGTTGACTTCTGAGAATAACTTATTTGATTCAGTTTTCCATAATAGCTCATTTGAAAGCTAAGCAAGTCAAGTATTTAACACAACCGGCTTATTGTAATTTTCTCTGGTTAGACATGTCAATCCAATATGGCTGTTGTGGTTTTAAAACATAGTAAAAGTTACCAGCTTAAATAATTTATCTCCAATTTAAATGGAAAATTTCCCTTTCAACCTTCTACTAAACTTTAATCACCCTCTGCTTTCCAACATGTGTGACTGACCAAAGCTGTTTTTCCACCTCAGGAAGCCTTTTCCAGGAAGTAGAGTAGTTTCTTCTATTCACCCCACCCCATCTGCTCCCCCACTCAGAGTGACCAGACATAATTCACATAAACACATAGTAGTAGAACCGAACACAACAAACGGCGTAGAGGGAGATTTCAGGTGCAGGGTATTGTGTGTCTCTAACTAAATAAATATTAAGTGCAAGTGTGCGAAGACTATTGACTGCAGTTTCTTTCCTTTTAATTAGATGATTAAATGCTTGTTTTGAGGTTTTATTTCAAGGAATACGTTTTAGGTTTCTTGGTTAAAACTGTTTTTATTTATATTAGCATTGCAGAGCAGCTGAACATTCAGTCATATTTTTATATAGCTTTTTGTTTTCTTCAGTGCAATTAAAGTTAAGTAGTTTGCAAATGTGTACTGCAGGGGAAAACGGCACCAGGTGGAGCCTCTGTATTAATGAGGGTTTTTATAAGCATTCATTGGGAAACAAAATTTACTGAAGTAATGTTTTATTTCATGTTAAAGAGCCAACACACCTTTTTGTTTCAGTATAAGTCATATCTAACCTCCTTACTACTGGCCACATATTTCTGACATGTTTCCTCATTTATCTCTGAAGCCACTAAAGATGAAGTTAAGTAGCTCAATGTGATGTGATGACTGTATGTTGGCATTAGTGCACTTAAAGACCTTTTAAGCTGCATTAAGCTGCCCAACCCATGAATTAGAACTGGGCTTTTAAGAGCTGTAAAACCAGAGATGGAGAAGCCTGATTAGTGTAGAGTGGTTAATTAGCGACTGGTTTTAATATTTTTCATTGCCAGTTGTGATTGACTGATTACTGGTTTGTAATTTCTTGATATTTTTAAGCAGTTGCATATTAGTTTTGGACTCCATCATCTTTTCTCTGTTCTAATTTTAATTGACTCTGGCAAATAATGTTGACTTGCATTTCTTTTCTCTCCATATGGGAATGCTGTGATGGATTTTATGCTCTATAACTGGCAAACAACTCTCACATGATTTTTTGCTTGCACAAGTGAGGACTCGGAAAATGTACCAGCGGAATCAGCAGTTTATTTTGTTTCTAACTTTTTAAAGACAGTAATAATACCACAACTATTTAAAAAGGATGCACTGTTCTCCGAGCTTCTGTGAAAGACTACCTCTTGGCTACTTCCTACCTCCTGACTGAAGGAATTCCTGTATTTTCTCTTGGTTTCTGGAGACTTTGGTTGCTGTGTTGGCATTTTCAAATGGTAAACTGCAGGAAGACTGCTTTGGTGACTGTGAAGCGTGTTGATTCCCTTCTTACGTAGTTTTTATGAGCTTATCCACTACGGACATCCTAATGGTTCCTTATCCTAAAGACTTAGTTGATGCTTTATTACAGTAAAGACAGTGGTGGTGTGCTAACAGCATAGTTTCATTGCCTGGTATTTGTCTCTTGCAGATAGGATTGTGCAAGCCAAACACTTTTGGTGAAGTTGACACATGTAATATCTTTCTTTCTGTCCAAGGCATGACTGAAAGGAACAAAAATGGGGAAAAACAACCAAGTTCTGAACAAGTAAATACCTCTACTTGATTAGAATGATGAAACCAATCTATATATTTGCCTGATGTGTTTTGTTCTCAATTCTCAACTCTCTTTATCAGCTTAATTGTGCATGTAATCCTTTTATGTGATGCAGAGAACAACTTTGAATGAATTCCTAAAATGTTCATTCCTCTTCAGCTTTACCTAATGGCAGAAATACACCTTATGCATGTAGGTTGTTTCCCAAGTACTTGAGTTTTAATTTGCACATTCTGCATGGGTGTTATCCGTCGCCTTCCCAAAGAGCTTGTTTGGCATATTGGACATTTGGCTTGCTATTAGGCATGTATCGTGTTCTATAATTACAATTAATGACAGCGTTGTCAGGATTGTTACTTTTACTACTTTTCTCTACTGTTGGTTCCATGAAAGCAATGATGAATATCAATAAATTTGAAAATATGATTAAATACAGTAACTTATGCACTTTACTGATAAAAATCACACTTCTTTGTCACTGGTATTTCAAAATTTTAAGTATTTCAAAGAGTACTATTTGTGTTTGAAAGGGCTGCACGGTGGTGTAGTTTGTAGCACTGTAACAAGGTCCTGGGTTCAACTCCCAGCTGGGGGTCTTTCTGCATGGAGTTTGCTTGTTCTCCCCGTGCATGTGTGATTTCTCTCCGGGTACTCCGGCTTCCTCCCACAGTAAAAAAAAAAACGTGGAAGCCAACCAATTAACCCAAATTTTTCTCTTAATTTCCCTTAAGTGTGAATGAGTGTGTGCACGGTTGTTTGTCCTGTGTGTCTCTGTGTTGCCCTGCGATGGACTGGCGACCTGTCCAGGGTGTACCCCACCTCTCACCTGTAGACTGCTGGAGATGGGCACCAGCTCCCCCGTAACCCAGTATGGAAGAAGCGGGTATAGTAAATGAATGGATGGATTTGTGTTTGACATTCAGTCACAGCCATACAGCGACCGTAATCTGCATCGTATTTTGAAAAGTGGAGCCATACTTCCGAGCGCTTTCTATCAGCCGTGCTTTGTTGACGGTACCAGCGGCTACTGACGTCATTACGCATTTGTGCGTGCAATGCTGTGTTCATGTCCAGCATGGAAAATCGCCCACTCTTCTACACACAATGTGTTTAGGTACCGAAACATGGTACAGTTTGATTTTACGTTAATCGGTACTCTGTAGTACCGACAGAATTTGGTCGGTATCCATAAAAGTACCGAAATTGCTACCCATCCCTTGAAAGACGGTGGTGAGACCAGCCATGTTGTATGGTTTAGAGACAGTGGCACTGAGGAAGAGACAGGAGGCAGAGCCTGGAGGTAGCTGAGATGAAGATGTTGAGGTTCTCTTTGGGAGTGAAGAGGATGGATAGGATCAGGAATGAGTACATCAGAGGGACAGCTCATGTTAGATGTGTATGGAGATACATCTAGAGAGCCTAGAGTGACATGGATTGGACTATGGGGGAAATTTACTGCCAAAAATCAAGAGCACATGTTTTCAGTTTGAGAGCAGGATTTCATTCTGCTTGTACTCAAACCTAGTAATGCTTGCACTCAAAATTTCTGGTTTCTTTCAGATATACTCTGTTCTTTCTCAAATCTTTTTCTGCACTCTGATCTAATGCTTCTTGCATAGATAATTTCTCCTGCTTGCTTCATCTTCCATGCGTGAAAACTTTCTCTGCTCGGATCAAAACTGCGCTCTCGAGTTTCTTCCCTGCCCGCAACTTCTTTTTGCTCTCTCTCAGGTTAAAGTCGTATTATCTCCTAGCAACCATATCAGCCAATAGAATGACAGTGTGCAAATGTTAGGTCACGGGCTTAGTTGGGGGGGGGGGGGGGGATTATCTAGCATGTGATGGAAATGGATGATGTGTCTAGTTTTATGTTCATGTTACTTCATGTTAACCAGTGCAGAGGTGTTTACTAAAGTAGCCACCCAAACAGAAACACAATGGTCCGCTTCGAAATAATAGCAGCATTTCCATGCAGAATTATCACTTTTAAGTTTCATTACTTTTTTCCATTCATTGACTAGATGAGGCCCGGGGGCCTGGAAAATGCCTAGGTCTGAGTTGGAGGGAATTTGTGCAGCTCTGTAGTGTGTTGTAATACATGTTTGTGCATGTGTGGAAGTTAGTGGTGAATGATGGTGTTAGTTGCTGCTCTCTCTCGATTTCTTGCTAGCTGGAGCTCCACAGGATTATCCTTCATGCATATTCTGCTGCCTCTTGTTGATGTATACTTCCTCGCTCCGCCTTTTTCAAACTCCAGTGATCTTGGGTCAGGATTCCTCTGACAGCAGCATTACTCCACTCAGTTGGCATCTTCTCTTAGGCCCCCCACCGCTTCTCTTCTGTCATCATGTCAGCGAGCCCCTCAAAGCTCTTTCTGTCTGTCCGACTTTTTGGATGTGGGACATGGGTGGGATTACAGAGTGGGACATCTTCCTGTGTTTCATCCTATATAGCTTAGAGGAATGGGGTGACGGCCGGATGTTTAGGAAGGGTTGTCGGGCACAGTGGTTATGCCAGGCGAAGGCCCTCCCCATCCCAGTCCAGTATTGTCCCGTGCTGTCTCATTCCCAGCCAGGCGGCCATGAATGTTGGAGTCAAGCTAAAGGGACTTCTGTAAATTTAAAACTTTTGAATTTGATGGTGTGTTTGGTCAGGCTGGAGAGGATATGGATTTGTCCTGCAGTATTTAGGACTGGTTTCTGACTCAGAGCTGTTTGGATTGCTAAAATGGAATGAGCATATCTCGAATCAGGACTTCACACTTCATCACGTTCTTGAAATTCTTCGTGAGCAGTGACATGAGGTATGCGACGAGACAGAAATACTTATTGTTATCATACTTCGGAAGCTTAAAACTCTCTGGTGCAGCCATGTTTATTATGTTTACAGTCCTTTTTCAGCTCCTGTTTTCTGAAAAGTTTGATGTAAAACTGAACTGCTGTTAAAAAGTCATGGAGCTTCATTATTTCACAATTTTATTCTGTCATGTTAGTCTTGAGTAACTGTGTAATCAAGTAAGTGTTTTCTTGGCAGGGGGGGCGTCTCCATGTTACAATGGACATGGAGACGAAAATGAAAAAGAAAAAAATAGCAAGAAAGAGCAATTGGGTGAAGGAAATACAAGATAACACCTGCAGAAACAGAGGTTTTTGTTTTGAAACCAAAACTTTTAAAAACTTTGGTATACCTTGATATCGGTTACTAGCCTATTGCTCCCCTTCTGATATTAGCAATAAGAGTCTGATGATTTTCAGGAGTACATTGTTGTTGAATTAACATAAGTAACAGAATTTGTACTGATCTTTTAAGTAAATGAACACCCAGATCTCACTTTGTTTATCCAGAGACATGGAGGCTGTGTTCTCCTACAGGGCAAAACTAAACCTGACAACAAACAGAAACACTTCATGTTGTTTGGTTCTTTTTAATCTGGTTTACTTGAGCTTTTAAGGATAAATTGGATTACGGGCCTTGCAATAAGTGATTGCATTACATGCAAATGTGCTGTGATGCTACATGACTTGATGCAATTTCTGCAGCTGTCCTGGTAACCTGCACGCGTACAACGTATTGACTGAATGCATCCATATTGTCAAACAGCAAAATGCTGTGAGGTGAGAGGAGAAAGGGGCTGACCTACCACCCTGGATTTTGTTTTCATTTATTTGATTTTCTTTTATTTTTCATTTAAATCATTTTTTATAGACTTACGTGCTTTTAGTGTTCAGTTCTGATGCTAAATGGATGGCGCAGATCAGTGGTTATTCATAAAGGTTTGTATACATCAGTGTGAGAACAGCCTGTGTGAAAGATACTTTGGTTACAGCACAGTTCATCATCGTAGACCCACTACAGGCTGTAACAGTGTTAGAGATGGTAAAGAAACTTTTGGTGCAGATTTGCTTCAGCTGTTACCTTTGAATGGCCCCAGAGAAAGTGTTGCAGAAAGATTTATGATTATGTTTTGGGTTATAATGTCTTAAAACATGTTTGCGTTTAATAGTTGCAGCTAATTCTGTTTTTCATTTTACTTCTGATTAGGCATATGACACACAACTCTAACCCAGTACATTCTTTGGATTATTCTGTTAAACATTGTTTACATGTGAAATTTATAATTACATTTCTTATTAGAATAATTTTTTCATCATAAATAGGATTTAAAGGATTTTTTAGGATTGTTCTCTTGTATTAAAAATATATCTTTTTAATTACAGTCTCATACTTAGTCAAAATGTCCAGCAATGAATGTACAGATGATGCCATTAAAAAAAAAAAAAGGTTCTGTATTACTAAATTAAATTCAATATAACATTTGTACTGAGTTGCACTCTCTGTTTTACATTTACAATGTCTCGCAAAACTATTCATAACACTCGACATTTTCTCATTAGAAGCACAGATTTTTTGATAGAACAACACCAAGTCATTGTGTGATAATTGTGAAGTAGAAGAATGATGTATGATTTTTACATTTTGTATCTTTTTTACCAATAAACGTGTGGTGTTGGGACTGCATGATATCAGAAAATCTTCTCATCTGGACTTCATCACTCTTTGACCTTTAGCATTTTAGTCAATGCCATTTGTTTCCAACTGGCTAAATATTACTCTAGCATGAAAATTGCAAGTTTATAACACTTTGAATATATTAGCCAACAATTATTGCAGCCTTATGTGGTTTGCATTTGTATTCAGCCCCCTTTACTATAATGTCCCTAAATAAAATCCAGCACAACCTGTTGCCTTCAGAAGACACCTAATTATTACATAATGTCCACGTTAATTTTAGTATAAATCTAGCTATTCTGTGCAAGCCTCAGAGGTTTGTTAGAAAACATTATTGAACGATCAGCATCACAAAGACCAAGAGGCACACCGCAAGCAGGTCAGGGTATTAAGTGGGGTTAGGTTATAAAGCTTGGTAGTGGCAGTATTATGCTGTGGGGAGGTTTTTCGTCAGCAGGGACAGGGAAGCTAGATTGAAGTATGTAATTGAAGAAAAATGTTAGCGGCTAAGAGCGGAGCTGAAGTTCCCTCCGGCAGGACGAGAAACTTAAACATATTGCCAAAGGTCCAATAAAAAGGCAAATATCAAAGCTTATCTGTTTGCTAGAATGTCCTAGTCAAAGATCTACTTTAGCTAAATCTACTTTAGAATTGGTGGCTTGAAAATTGTTTTTCAGATATTCTCCATCCAACCTAGCTTTAGCTATATTACAATGATGAATGCATAAAAATATCAGTTCTCTTTCACAGAGCAGTGTATAAACATTTTTATTTTGTGAGGGATTTGAAAAGGAAAATGGTTTAATGACTGCTCAGCAGTTTTGTTGAGCAGACCCAATGCTCTCCATCTTGGGGATGCATGATTTTCCCAGTTGTCAACAATCCTACCCTGGGCAGGCTTGGCCAGGCTGTAACCCAAGCTCCTGATCCTCCTGTTCCCCACGGGGTAACATGAACCAGGATTGCTTTGTCATATGCTGGAGAGAGAGGTTCACTCTCCACACCCACTGTGTGGCCATCAAGGCTGTTTTTGCACATCAGTTTAGCGTTCACAATTAAATTTGATATTGAGGTGGTCATGCCTCAAAGACTGGGT